TCCTTTACAGAAGTTTTGCTGACTCTTGATTTGTATAATTAGAGAAGTCATAGAGTCTGTAGGAATCTCTGGGAAGAGGAATCAAGTCCAGCAGACACTCCTATCCTGCAACCTTGAATAAGTCATATGATATTGTCTGTTTTCTCATATGAAATGAAAATAAAGGATGTAAAGTTCTGAGTTCCTTATGCTTCTAGTTGCACCCTCTGCAACATGATACTCAGTACCTTCATGAGCTGACAGTTCTTTTTCTTTTTGTCTTGTTTTGTTTTTCTCAAGCACTCCCCACCTTTCTCTTCCGTTAATCTGTTTGATATGGATTGAACAAATATGACAATTTTCTTCTCTGACCTTCACACCCCACACTTTATCTCATCCATATACCTGTCCCATTGCTTATACTCACATTTTTAGGAAGTTTCAAAATCTTCAGGTCTCATTTTTTTTTTTTAAGATTTATCTATTTATGCTTACAGAACTGGGTATGGCCAGGGGTGTGGTGGATAAGAGGATTCACCAGAGACAGATAGGGAGCAGAACAGGCAGATCTATTGAAATACACTGCTGAGGGAACAGTGGGTGGGTCAGAAGAGGTCTGCCACGATATGTGGGTCAGCTCCCTGGCTGAGAATCAAACTTGTGCTGCAGTGGCTTGGGAGAGCTCCACAATGCAATACTTTAACCCGTTGCACCACCAGGAGAGCCCAGTCTTCACTTTTTTTATCTGATTTTATCTCTCACTTGGTAATTCAGAGTGGATTTTGGGTAATAGGTCATGATCAGGTAATGTTACCTGATTCTGTTGGATGACTGAGCTTTTTCACATCAGCCCGAAGAGCATTTTACTCTGTTCCATAGCAACAAGCCTCTTGCCCAAATTCGACAGCTGGTGTTTGAATCCTCTGTCTTGTGGAAATATTTTTTTTCATTAGCTGACAGTATTACGCATTTGCTTTTGGCTTTATTATTCCTGACATTTTCATTATTGCTCATTCTATATAGTCCCTGTCTCGAGTAAAAAAGCACTTGGAATTGTTTGCTTAGCAGAAGGGATGTTATTTCTTCATCTGGAAAACAAGGGGTTCCTGCTAGCTGGCACCATCTATGAATTCACGATTTCATGAAATTGGGTCTTAACGACTTCTGTCTGTGCTTGAACAGCCCACCCAGACTCCAGCCTATGAAGAAGACAGTGGGCTATAGCAGGTAGTATTCATTAGGTGATGAATGACTGAATAAGCGAATGACTGTACATAAGTCCCAGAAGCCTCAGGATGAAAGAGCCATTGCCCCATAAAGAACACATCAATGACATTTTGTAATTTCACAACTGTTGTCTCCAAAGATATTTTCAGAAATGTCCCCTAGAAATAAATCTCAAAGTGAACTCATGACCTCAAAGCCCCTAGCTAGCACTTCTATTTGATTTCCTATTAACTTTCTAGTTCTTGTATTATATCCCCACTGGCTTCAAAAAATAACAGACATATTATTTTATTTTAATTTAATTTAAATGTGCATGTGAGGGCCCTTATTCCCTCTGCCTAGAATACTTTCCCAAATGAGCAAGTGGTTCACTGCTTCCTTCATGCAAACCTGTGCTCAAACATCTTTTCAAGAAACCATCACAATCCACATTTTATCTAACTCATACACCTTGCTTTATTTTTTGTCGTAGCACTTATCATTAGACTTATATTCATCTATGGATTTATTTTCTCCAGAGCCTATAATAGTGCCTCTCATAGGAGTGAGAAGGGAAGGGGGCCCTCAGATAGTAATTATCCAATGAATACACAAATAAGAGCAAGAAAAGAATCTACTTTTTGTGCACGTAAGTTCTCTCTAGCCCAGTGTGCCAATGTTATTTAAAGTTAACTATTTAATATGTTGTGTAGCTTTTTTTACTTCTTGCCTCTGTTTCTGTCATTATTTATCCTTTTTAGCCCATTATTATTTAGCCCAACCATAGGCTATCTGAGGACATGCTATATTTATATATTTTTTCCTTCCCACTTTCACATACATTATAAATGGAATTAACTAATTCAGTTTTTGTTAGAAGAAAATATATTTTAGCAAATTTGAACTGAAAAAGTATAAGAAATGTAGTTGTTACAGGTCAAGAACTTATCCAAGATGTGGCCATGATATAAAGCTGGTGAACTTTGTTCAGGAACAAATTGCTGTGCATGAGTTTACAAAAATAAATGGTCATCTTACTTTTATGAAAGATGTTATATTTCTACTTGATGGCACAGTTCTGAACCATGAACTTCACTAACGTGTTGCTAAGACTTCTAGAATAATTGGCTTATTGGGTTTTCCCACCTCTCCAGAATAAATCTTGATGATTTTTATTTTCCTCAAAAATGTTTATTTCAAATATATTATCAAACGTGTGAATATAATTCTTTACATATAATTTATTTATTTGTGACTTTGATGGCAAAGCAGTTTCTGAGATACATTGATGAACTGCTTTATTGCTTTTGTTTAACTTTGTATCTGCTCTGAGATTTATTGATTTGAATATATTTTTCAAACAATCAAATCACTTTTCCATATTTGTAGGAATTACATCTTCCTCTTCTGATGAAAATGCCAGTTTTTGAAATAAGTATATATCATTGAATTAAAGTCAATATTTGTTTTATTTTATTTTCAGTTCTGCAAATTATTTTTCCTACAGTATATTGCCTTGCTTCTAAAACTTAGATACACTTATTTTTCTAGGTTTTTCTTTACAGTTTGATGTAGTATTTATTTCACAATAATGCACTTAAAAATTAAACAGGAGTGGACCCTCCCTGGTGGCATAACGGGTTAGGATGCAGCACTGCAGCTGGTGCAGCCGCTTCAATCCCCCACCCCAGCGGTGACCCACATGGCGCGCAGAACTCTCCTGGCCCGCTGCTCCCCTCAGCAGTGTCCTTAGTCGATCTGCCTGTTCTGCTCCCCACTCTGTCTCTGGTGAAGCCTCTCACCACCCCTACAACCCTGGCTTGTGCCCCAGTTCTGTATGCATACATAAATAAATCTTAAAAACAACAACAACAACAAAATAAAACAAAGGTACTCATTTAAAAAAAAATAAACAGGAGTTTTATGCACATGGATTTCATTTGCCTCATCTTCTCTTGCTTTCCAATCCATTTTTATAGAGGAAGCAATCAAACTGCACTTAAAAGAATCAACAATAGATATAAAATATTTAGCATTTAACATTTTCTGAACTTTGCCACTTTCTTCACCCTACTGATATTTAAACCCCCACATAGCCTATGAGTTATGTGCTGGTGTTACCTCAGTTTACTGGTGGGGAGACTTCACTGATAGAGAGTAAAAGAACTAAACCAGCTTTCCCACCTGTTGCCCATGGGCTTCAGACCTCACATGTCCTTGATACAAGAAATCACAGTTAGTGTTTTAAATTCAGTATCAGAAGAGTAGAGCAGAATTCTTTAAAGTAGAACATCAATATAGTTCATACTAAGATTTAATTGTTGGACAATTGTCGGAGACCAGCTCCAACTATTGAGGTGTCTGGAGGCAGGACAGGCAGGACCCTAAGGTGGGAAGGCGTCAGCGAGTAGAGATTCCTAAAAAAGGGGAAAAAGGGAAAAAAAGGGGGAAAGGGGAAAGGAAGACATGGGAGTTGGAGTTGGGTGCATGTCTTCCTGCTCTGCCTTCAGCAGAGGTTTATTTTATACATTACGAGCAAGCAGTGAGATGACATCAGCACACGAACTGGGCTGAGAGATTACAATCATCTTTGTTTTTCCTAAGAACAGTTTGGGGTTGTTTTGACCCTAGCTTGAGATTACAACATTCTAAAATCAATCAAGGTAAAAAACAGGTGCATAAGTGCACAAAATCTATGACTAATATTACTATAGTGGAGATCAACTAATATAGAAGTCCCTTAAACCTTATCTACTACTTAATGGGTTTGTTTTTCTGCCTTAATCATCCTGGGAGACAGAAGAGGAAATTCCTTGCTAATCAAATCTCTGAATAGGAGACATAGGTGGATTTCTTTATCTAAAGACTACATAGAATCCTGAAAAACTAGCCAGAAGACTTTTGTGGATTCCTTTAAGGTGTAGCAGGTGGAAAACTTGATTAGTTTAAAAAACAAGCAAACTGGATGAATTTCCACATCTAAAGGCCAAACAATAGGAAGTTTGAGTAATTCTTTAAAAAGCTGAATAGAAGGCTAGGTGAGATAATAGAATGATAAGATTTGGGTTATCCTCCATCCGGCAGTGAGAGAGACTTTGCAAAAACAGCCCTTTTGCTTTTATTTATCAGTCAGTAGTCAAGTCACTTGACTTCAGGGGAATTTTTTCACCCTGGTGCAGTGCTTGCTTGTCAAGGCAGGCAGGCCTTGTGTGGCTGAGGCAATCCAATTGTAAGCTGAAAGTTGCTCAGAATATTTTGATATTACGGTTATACAAAAAAGGGAGGTCATAACATAAGTTAGCGTGGAAAGTCTGATTTTTCAGAGCAATTCCCCTCCATCCGGACCGTGTCTGACGACAGAGGTTGCATAGCTCGTGTCAGACAATTATTATGCACAGTTATATTCAGTGTTAATAAATTTGCCCCAAGATATTCGCCTACTGCACTCTGGACTAGGGTTTTATTCATCTGCGATGAGATGTACTTTCTGTAAATTAGTGTGTCCTTTAATTATTTCCAAGGTGGGGGTAAAATAGATATCGATTAGTCATTTTTCATACCCTGCTACTTCAATGATATTTTGGTATCTTATTTGTATCTATAGAATAGCTGAAAAGGAGACATTTCATAAGGTTTACTTCTTTGGGCAACCAAGGCAAACTCCTGTCTTTTTGCCTCTAAACTCAATCCCATTTGGTAATAAATAACTTTTAAAATGAACTCGACGACAATATAGTTACTTTTAAAAAATGAAGTTATTTAATGACAGCAAATGACTGGTTCATTAATTTGTGATTCCTTTCTTTCGTTTAAAGATAGTGTTTTTAGAAGAAGCTTCTCAACAAGAAAAGCTGGCCAAAGAATGGTGCTTCAAACCATGTGAGATAAGAGAACTGAGCCACCAGTAAGTGATAACCAACTTCTCCCCTTTTTCGCGATGCTGTTGACTAGCCTCAAATGACAGAAAAACTGCCTTGAGAGACAGGGGATTTTACATTATTACTATTGTTGTTGTTATTATTATTCATTACTATTATTAATAAGAGGTGAGGAGGGTATAAAAGTAATTTTATTATTATTAATATAGTAAGAGATGAGAACAGAAAGTTGAAGGATGGAAACAGAATTAGATCTTTCATCCTTCATTGATTTCCTTTGCTTAAGAAGTAGGATCTGGACCCTCCCAGGTGGCCAGGGAGTTAGGATGTGGCACTACAAGCTGGCTGCAGCTGCTTCAGTGAGAGTTCAATCCCTGCCCAGGAGGTGATCCACATGGCACTGCAGACTTCTCCTGACCTTCCCACTGCTCCCCTCAGCAGTGGATCTTGTCAATCTGCCTGTTCTGCTCCCTGCTCTTGCTCTATCTCTGGTGAACCTTTTCACTGCCCCTGCACCTCTGGCCTATACCCCAGTTCTGTATGTATAAATAAATAAATCTTAAAAAATAAAAAAGAAGTAGGATCTGGAGGTGAACTCACAAGGGCTTTCAGCCCAGGAGAACACAGAGCGTAGACAACTGTACAGAGGTTAGAGGATCCTGTCTCTAAAAGTATGATTGAGTTGTGATTTAATGTTCCAACTACTTGTCAGAATTTTAAAAAAGATTTTATTTCTTTGTTTTTGCAAAGAAGAACTAAGATGTAGACCAGAGGTGTGGGGGTAAAAGTATTCACCAGAGACAGAGTGGGGAGCAGAAAAATCAGATTTACTGAAATGCACTAAGTAAGGGAGAGACAGGGATGTTTTGCTGTGCCATGTGGGTCAGCTCCCTGGCTGGGGATTGCACTCAACTCTAAAAGTGATAGAGCCAAAACTTACCTCTAGGCCAGTATGGAGGCCCGGTGACACAATTTTTAATAATTGTACAAAGTGTGTCTGTTTCCTATGATTGCTCACTCTTTTCATAGTCCAACTGATACAACTGATATGTCTTACAGAAGACATAGATATAGTATCTATGATCTATGACATACATAGACATATATGTCTTTTTTTTTTTAATTGACAAACTATCTAGTTTCCGGTTTAGTTTGTTTCCAAAGTAAAAAAAATAATAATTTTCATTCTAAAAACTATATTTATTACTTTTAGTACTTGACTTACAGTAGTGTAGTAACAACACTGAAGTAGTTTAACAGGATGGCTTCCAGGCAAAGGGGAGGTTCTGGGTTCCCTGCCCCACCCAAAAGGAGGGTGGAGCTGAGCAGAGAAGAGAAGAATCTGGACAAGAGACTGAAGAGGAAGAAAGAAGGATGGAGAGTCAGAAGGAGACCTGAGGGAGGCCCAGGGAGCAGAGACATGTGAAGAAGCAGCTCTTGTTTCTTGGTCCTGGACTGGGTGAAATAGATGTGGGTGAGAGACCCGTGGGGAGGTTGGCTATGGCAGCGTTTATCTTGATTTTACTTTTGTTCTTTTCCTCCCAGACTTGTCTGGCCATTGTCTATGGGTCCCCTCCAGAAGGTGCTTTAACCTTGTGGAGGGCTTTCAGGCCTTGCTTTGGACCAGTCCCTTTTGGGTGGACTTTTACCCATGAGGAGATGGGTAACTTTGGGTGTTTGATTTAGAAGCTACTTTTTTTGTCTTTTCTGTATTGCACACTAGTTGTATTAAAGTTCCTTTCCATTAAAGGTCTTACTTGTTTTGTCTTGATTCAGCAAATGGCAGAACCCATTTAAAGTGGGGGTTCAGGGGTTTCCCCTCTCCCTGCCCTGTAACAATAGGAGTTTGATCCCTTCGCTTGAACCCTTACTGTGGCTTTGAGACTGTTAGCCACTTCCTTCTGTGAGATTGTCTCCTAAGCTGTTAGCAAAAGGAATGCCCTAGGTGACTGTGGACACCCTGTCTAATGCAGTGGTCCTGTAAACTAGGTCACCCTTAGACTCGTAGTCAGAGGGCTAGCCATGGTCCAGAGAGGGGGTGACTGGTTATAAGGTTGCTGTGCATTTATACTTCTTCCTCTTGCTTCCTAACTTCTCCTTACTCCTTTTTTTTTTTTAATAGACTTGGGAACATGTGGGCAATGGGTACATTTATCTCTATAGTGAAATCCAAAAGGCATGGAGATAATTCCAGTCATTTCTGCCATTATTGTCTGCTTTGTGTTCTAGGTTTCATGGGAAAAGTTACTGAGGAACAGTTGACATCAGCTGCTTGGGTGACTTGGTGAAAGGGGATTAGAAGTTTTGGGAGGGGGTGAAAGGGGGATGGGAGAGGTAGAAGCAGCTTTTGGAGTTAATCACACCAGTCATAAGGGATTCCAAGAGACCTTAAGCCCTACAAAGGGGAAGTGGTTAGGTGAAAGAATACAAGGTAGACATTGGTGGAAGACTGACGCATTTGAAGAAAAATCATATTTAAAATGCATCTGAAGAAAAATCATCTCAATCATATTTAGATGCAGTTGAATTTCTCTAAGTCGAGATTAAAATATCACAGAAGATGCTATTTCTGACAGTCTGTTTAACAGACTTAGTACATCTCCAGGTCTATCTCAGCATGATGTGAGTTTTTTTTTAGAAAATGAAATTTACAATCGGTGCCCTCTGAGCAGTGCTTAGGTAGGAGTGGGATCTAACTGTGAGATCATGGACTACTGACAGATTGACAGGGCCAGGATGGTGGGGAGGGAAGAGCATTCTACCCTCATTCTTCTGCAGGGCAGGCTGATGGGCTTCGCGAGGCATCCTGCACACTAAGCAATGCAGGCCTTTGTATTAGTCATGTGTTTTCATGGCGAAGCTTTTATTAACGTTGTCCATTTGTTAAGAGGTGGTGGATGATTTAATAAGTGTACCTGTGGACATACTGTTCTTCCTGAGATGCTGTTGTAGTCTGCGGGCTTGAAATGTGAAAGTGGTGGGTTTTATTTGGGAAAAGTTGAGGTTTTCTAAGCAATTATGATAGTAAAATGAAAAAGAAGAAAGCTAAAAACAGGAGAAAGGAGAGCTTTTTCACTTCTTTCTGCCTCTAAGCCCCATTTCTACAGTGTTTGCAGCTTGAGTTTTGATGACTACAACTTAACTGTGAGCTAGACCTTGAGTAAAGAACTCAGTTCTAATCCTGGCTGGGCCACTAGTGAATAGAATGTGAAAACCAGGCTGAATATCCTGAGCTCCCTTTTATTGTCAGTAAATGAGTTGTTGAGCACATTGACCTCTAATCTATATGCAGCTTGCACAGTCCAATTCTGTAATTAAATCCTGGACTATCACCGTATCATACAAGCAGTCACCTTATATGACTGTTTCTGCTAGTAAGCATTTCACAATCATCCCTAGGAAGGATGGCTAGCTTTTCTGGAGAAAAGTTACATGATGCAGTTAATCTTTGCTCTTCTGTTTCCTCTGAAAACATTGTACCCTCAATTATCTCCTTAACTTCTTTCACCTCTGCTACCTTAAGAACATGCTGGAGACTCTCCTCCATGGAAAATAAAAGTGACTTTCTCTTTCTCTTCACATTACCATTCTAACTTTCACTACCATATAATGTCAAAGGGAGCCCTCTGTTTGCTCAGGGCTTTGTCTACCACCTGTCTTTCATGTTCATGACTTCTCAGCAGCACTTGGAATGGAACTAAAATATACTGGAGGCTCAGTCAGTACTTATATAATGAGTCCATGTGAAATTGATGTCTCCCCACTATTGCTGAAAAGTGAGAGCTCTCAGAGTCCTTTTGAGATCACTCATTTCAGCCTTGACTCTTGAAATTTCTGACACTGATTGCACCTGACTCCTTTGTAAAACCCTCCCTACACTCTGTCCTTCGCCCCCTCTGCTCCTGTGCGCTTCCTGACGGTGACACTGCCTAGACCTTCTTCAGTCTTATTCCCTAAGTGGAAGCCACTGCTCAACGTTTGGCTTTTCTTTATTCACAGAAATCTCTGGCACCCCCAACTTTTAGAGTTACCTATATAGGGAGACAGACACTCAGATCCAAATCCCATCTGTAATTCTTGTGATATCCCACATTCCAATTGCTTTTTTAAACACTTTGACTCCAGCCTTCCTGTGACATTAGTCTTCCCTCAAGAGGGAATTCCTACTAAATTCCCTGTGCTTACATTTATAGCTCTATATGCTCAAAAGTTCACCGTGACTTGTTTCTTTCCTGTGTTCCCTAGAGCTAATAGATGTTCAAATTCTTTCTCTTGTATTTATTTTTGCCCTCCCTTTCTGTTCCCATCACCAAAATTTTTTATTCAGAAATCTCAAGGCTGGGAGGACAAAGGATCTGTCATGCCCTTTGCTCTCAGCTATAGCTCTAAACCTGATTAATACATCACAGTTCTCCAAAGCAAATAAAAACTAAAGAAGCTAGTATCTTCATGGCCCCCTTCTTTTTGGCTACAGAATAACAAATGCATGTAAATTCACTAAAGTATCTATGATTCTTCTAAAAACACTTTTTTAAAAAATAATATAACATTTTATTTTTACCATTTTGTACATTTTTTTTATCTCAATTGTAATCCCCGTGGGTTTCCCATCACCGAGTCACCTGTGTGCCTTCACCATAGTCCAGTGAATTTCCCTCCCCCACTGTTTTTGATGCCATTCCCCACTCCACCCCCGCAAAATGTCTCTGGTATATGGTTATTCATTATTTTTGTTATTTTCTTGCCTGGTCCATTATACTCCTGCTATGACATTATACTCCTGCTATGAGTGAAACCATCCGGTATTTTTCTTTCTCTTTCTGGCTTATCTCACTAAGCATGATCTTTTCCAGCTCCATCCAAGTTGCTGTTTCTCTTTTTTGGTTCCATTGTATATATGTACCACATTTTTTTAATCCAGTCATCAACTTTTGGGCATTTGGGCTGCTTCCATGTTTTTCCAATTGTAAATAAAGCAGCAATAAACATGGGAGTGCAAGGTATCTTTTTCACTCAGTGAAAAACACTTTTTTTTTAGAAAATGCAAATCTTTGATATATAATTTGATAAATGTGCACACACACATACACACACCCCTATAGACTCAACATACCAATCAACATTCTTATCAGACTAGAAATTTCCCTCATATCTCCACCTCTCCAGGGTGCTCTCTAGTCCCTCAGGGGCAGCCACTGCCTGATATTTATCACATAGGTTACTTCTTGTGTTTTTGTATGTTATATAAATGAAGTAATTCATATGTATATTTTTGGTCTGGATTTTTCCATTCAACCCTGTTTTTGAGATTCATCCACATCGTTCTGTTTAATCTGAATTTTATTCTTTTTTTTTGTTGGCAAATAGCATTTCATTGTATCAATATTCCATAGGTTGCTTATCTTTTTTCCTTTGGCGAATATTTGATTTGTTTCTGTTTGAGACTAGTATTTAGTTTGAGACTAGTATTTAGTGTTTAGGGTGGGCCAGGAGAGATCTGCTGTGCCATGTGGGTAGCTCCTTAGCCAGGGGTTAAACTGGTCTTTATCCCCACGCTAACTACTGAATGACAGTTTTTTTAAATCTCTATAAATTTCCTGATTCTCATTTTTCTCTTCTATGAAGGAAACTAACAACACTGCCTTTTAGGCTTGTTGTGAATACTGAATCAGCACAATTAAATACTTTAGTGTTATCCACTATCTCAGCACTGTTCTCCTACAGCCTGCCCCAATTCTCACAACAGCTCTACATGCTGGTATTACCTCCATTTTACAGAAGGGGAAACTGAATCATGTGAGGTGATGTAGCATGGGGACTGTGCCACAGCGGGATTGGAATGGAGCCTGAATTCATCTAGATGTTCTGAGCTTAGAATATATTCATATCCTGTTATAAACTACATCTCACAAATAAGCTGCACATGACATGCTGTGCCCAGGGCCAGTCCATGCACATCTTGAGTAAACATTGCCTGCTCTCACCATCATCACTACCATTCCTCATTTTAATATTTATTTTATTTATTTATGCATAGAGGAACTGGAATGTAGGCCAGTGGTTGAGGGGATGAGAGGATTCACCAGAGACAAGTGTGGGACAAGCAGAACAGTCAGATTGACTGAAATACACCGCTGAGGGTTTCAGTGGGCAGGACAGGAGAGCTCTGCTGTGCCATATGGATCACTCCCTGGCCAGGGGTTGAATTCATGCTGCAGTAGTATGAGATCCATGTGACAAAGTAAGGTATTTATAGATACTGACAGTTTTACTTGTCCTCCTTTTATGCGATATACAATACCAATTTGAATTGGTAATGTAACGGACTCTGTTATGCCAAGTTTTGAGTTCAAGCTTCTTACGCATATAAAAATATACTTAATATTAACTCAGGGAGATGGTAGTAACAGTGCCTGCTATCCCTTCACACACACATGTTTGGATGAGATGAAGTACTAGACAGCAGTGAACTGAATTTGTTCTTTAGAAAAACTTCCAGTGAGCCAAGGTCTAGATGACCATTGTATCTAAAATTGCAGCCTCTCTGTTTCTCATCTGCCATGAGTAGTAACACGTGTATAGTTGTTCAGCCCAGCTCGAGGAGTGTGAAGGCCTCCCTTTTCATCTTTTTCCCTATCCTCAGTGGTGAGAACAAGTCACAGGATAAAATCATGGCGTTACTCATTTCTTGTGCAACAACCACTTTGCTTTTTCTCAACACTGTACCTCACACCGGCCATTCCAACTTAGAAGCTGTGTCTTTCCAGTAGACATTTATTCGTGTTTATTTCCTGATCTCTAAATATTAGAAGTTACAGTCATCTAATTGCATCAGCTCTAAACCTGTGTGGGGTGAACAATTAAATCATTGTTAAAAGAAAATGTGATTTAATGATATGGAAAATTTAATGTTATTAAATTCTTTTCCTCTTATTTAATTTCCAGTGAGTTCTTCATGCCTGGGCTGGTTGATACTCACATCCATGCCCCTCAGTATTTATTTGCTGGAAGTAATGTGGATCTACCGCTTCTGGAGTGGCTGAACAAGTACACTTTTCCCACAGAGCACAGGTTTCGGAGCATCAACTTTGCGGAAGAAGTGTATACAAGAGTTGTTGTAAGTATCCTGCTTGCAAGTGTTGTCTTTTATCCTTTTACCCATAGAGACATCTACTTCTTTGAGAAGACTTAAACTATAAAATATAGGCAGTTAAGTTTAGGATGTACTATTTTTTACTTCTTTCCAATTCAGTGAATTTGTGACCACCTCACCTAGTATAGCTTGTTGCTAGCAAGGCAAGAATCTATTACTTTCTTTTGCTTTTTATATTTTATTTTACTGAATGTCAGTTCAGTGGACATGTGCATTCTACTTCTGTCAACCTATATGCTGTTATTGGGATGATATGAAATAGCTGCCAACCCGATGGAAAGTTCCTTAATGCATGTTACCCATCTATAAAAAACAGCTAATGGTATCAATTTCATAGGGTTGTTATGATAATCAAGCAAATTAGAATCTGTGAGTTTCTTACAGTAGTGCCTGACAGATGGTAAAAATATCTCTGTGTTTTCTTGAAAAGCCATCCAGGAGAATTTAAAAGTAAAATTTCAAATTACGGTCAGAAGGATATCACATTGTGTTGGTAACTTTACAAGGCAAGACAGTAGATTGACCCACATTGCAAGACATGTGAAGCTGTGAAGAGCATGTACATCACTAGAGGGAGCAATGGAGCTAGTTCAGTGAAGCTTGGCTGTGGTTTGTGCCAAAGATGTATTATCAACAAACACTTTGAAAATGTCCTTTTCCACTCTTTCAAGAAAATGAATTCTCTTTACACCAAACCTTAGCCTGACCCACTTAACAACCAGTATCAACTTTCTGTAGTTAAGAATTAAAGCTGAAAATACTTTATCTGTCTACTTCCTCTTGCCATTCAACGTGCTTATCTGCAGTTGGCCTTGTTGGATATTCCAGAAGGTGTTGGCTCTGTGATGGTGACAATGTAACAGGTGTCAAAAAGCGACCAAGCCAATCTGCCAGTTTCATTGGTCTTACATCATTTAGTCTTAAAGAGTAAAAGCACGTGCTAACATTTATTCACTTGCCTCAATTATAAATACATTGTAATTGTGGATGCTACATTTTTAGCATGCATCCACATGACACCAGAAAAAAATGAGGACTAAAGCTGTGTATGAAGTTGCCAGTGCATTGTGTCAATGAATTGTGTTAACTAGACTAACCCATTCTATTCTCAAAATTTATTATATCTCACATTATTCAAAAACAAAGTCGGATATTTCTTAAAGTTACATAGTATACAGTAGAAGAAAATGAGTCGGGAACTCATGGCAAAGGAACAAAAAAGGGGAGGAAAAATAAAATAAAACTGAAAGGTGAATGTTTGTATTAGGAATTCATGTTCTTGTTAGTTTGCTGCAAAATTGGCTTTAAGTTTACAGCAACTGATCCAGAAATGGAAATCAATTCTGTAATTTACTCCATGTGTGCAATTAAAAACAAAAAAATTATTAAGATAAAGCATATCTTTCCCCATACTGATTTTCTTTAAAAAAGAAAATATCCCAACAATACTAGACTAACTGTATAGATACTGTTATCAGAATATAGATGATCAAGGGGCTATAATGTCAGATACCAGTATTTTATTATTAGATAGTTAGCTATCAAGACTTCTCTATTCTTCAAACAATATCCCATAAATACTATTTCTTATATCAGAGGCTTGTTTATCTTGATGCTAATGAATACAAAATAGATTTGTTTCTTGACAAGTATTTGTGTGCATCATCCTATGTTTCTGATTATGAACATAGTACATATCCTAAATTTGGATAAGTCAAAGTTATGGTTGAAACCTGTTTAAGAATTGAAAGAAATATAAACTGGTCCAGCCTCTATGGTTTCTCAAAAGTGAAAATAGATATATCATGTAATCCAGCAATTCTACTCCTAGGTATCCAGCCAAAGAAGGCAAAGATAGTAGTTAGAAAGGACCTAGTAGTTGGAGAGGATGCATGTACTTCTTTGTCCATTGCTGGTTGTAGTTACAATAGCCACATTTTAGAAACAACCTAACTGCCCCAAATCAGATGAGTAGATAAGGAAGATGTGGTAGAGGTACATAGTGGGATACTACTCAGCTATTAAAAAAAAAAAAGATGAAATCCTGACATTTGCAACATAGAACTGGGAAGCATTATACTAAGTGAAATATGTTAGAAGGAAAAAGACAAATACTAAATGATTTCACTCATTTTGAAATTCAAACAAACAAAACAAAGAACAGGCAAAGCTAAACTAAAACAAACCCTAGAAATATTACTGTAGAATTGAGGCTACCAGAGATGGAAGGTGGAGAGTGGGGAGCATGGTGGGGTGAAGACCAGGGACTATGATGGAGGATTCAAAGTCAGAATTGCTTCTCACTCTATAGATTGCTTGTTTCCTAGAGAGTTTCTTTAGATTCTTTCTCTTCCTCTCTCCTTGATAGCAGTTTTCCTCCAGGGCCTGCCGAACTTTGCGCTTACATTCATATTGATGAGTGTTGCTCTAAGATGTTGACTGGAAGCTCTGGGCTGGGGTTGGACTTACTAGCTAATGAACAGTGTCAAAGAGGAGCAGTGATGCAGGGGACAGCCTTTTCAGTGGCTTCCAAGCGTCACTGTGAAGGAATCGTTCTTCTAAAGCCTTGCATCTAGAAACAAATACGTCAGTCCTGCCAGAAGTGGTGGGCGCAGTACATGTGACATTCTGGGCAAGAGGGCTGAGGGCACCAGGGTACAGTCACATTTCCTTTTTTTTTTCAGCCTGTGCCTCACCTTGAGCTTTTGGCTCGTACCAAAATGTTATTTGGTTTCTACAAAGGTGGGAGCAGGTTAAGGGTAGTTGGTTGATTTCAACAGGAAGGAAAAGATCCCAATCAAGGTTTAACCATCTGTACACAGGCTTTCAGCCAATTCCTTGTTAACAACCTTTTGATTCTCTTTTATTAAGTTGATTCCAGGTTCTCATGCAAGAAGATGTTGAAATGTTCCATTTTCTCTTGTCTCCTCTCATGTTCTTCTTGTGGGCTAATAAATAGATTTTGTGTTCCTTTGCTGTTATTTTAGTAGAAATTTTCTAAGAAGGTGTATATATATGAGACCAGTCTGCTAGGTTGAACTATAAGCCTGACTGACTAATTTTACTTTGTAAGAGGTAGAAAGAGCTCATTTATTTCCCCCAGATGCGATAAAGTTTGGCTATCCTTAAAGAATTCTAAAAATAAGGATTAATTAACATCACATTTTATGAGTTCTGTAACATTGTGTGAATCTAGGAAATCAAAAGTATCCACTTCTCCTCCAGTAAATGCTTTTGAGGATATAAATAGTTTTGCCATTTACCTTAAATGTATTTCATATCAAGACGGTATAACTTTAAATAAAAACATTTTAAAATTAAAAAGAAGATTTCTATTTTCATCTGTATTTGCCATGTGACTTTTCTGGGCACACACGATTCATGGTTTTTGCGATTTATTTTTAGAGGAGAACGCTAAAGAATGGAACAACCACAGCTTGCTACTTTGGAACAATTCACACTGACTCATCTCTGCTCCTTGCGGAAATTACAGGTGAGGAGATGAAAGCCTGATTTATGGGTACATCAAGCAAAGAACACCAGACTGAGCGTGGCCGTGACTTACACTAGGAGTGAGCCTACCTTTGATTTGCTAAAATTTGAGCATTGCATTTCTCACAAGTAACTAAGTGTCTCTGTATCTCAGTGTTCCTTGAATGCTTTCTATTGTGGCAATGATGTGATTCCATACTTAAGGTTTTTGGTTTCAGAACGATGTGTGTGGCTTTGAACTTTGTATATTAATTTAGAACTTTTAGGAACAGCTAATTTTAGTTGTGGCAACAATTTATAATAATCAACAGACATCTTGGATGTTGACTAGATGCAGGATACTGTGCTAGATGCTGAGAACACAATGAAACAGAACATAGTCCCTGTCCTTGGGGAGGCAAGGAGGCAAGCAGAATTAACTGATCACTAACTATACATGTTGACTAATAACTTTAGGAGCAGGTTTTTTAAAGATGTATTTATCTATGCATATAAGAACTGGAGTATAAGCCAGAGGTGTCTGTGTGTGTGTG